TGATATTCCCGACGCAGCCCCGATTCGTTATGGTGTTCAGTAAGACTCTCCAAATATGATAGGTGTCTAATCGGTGTTGTGTACCGACCTCCCGCATCTTTAGACTCAGCCAAAGAGATTCTGTTGCAAACCATGAGGAATTCGTTATCTCTAACGTTCACCCATGCCCTCATAATGGGTGACGTTAACTGCCCCAATCTCATAAGAACGAGGACTTCCCGACAGTAACTCGAGAGACAATTATCTCAGTTAATTGGATTGCACCCACTGTACAACCACGTAACAGAACCCACTAGATTTGGAGTAGGTCACGAACCATCAACTCTGGACTAACGAGGAGCTGATGTTGGAATCTGTCAATGTCACGTCTCCATTAAGACATAGTGGTCATGCCGTATTGCTGTTTGATTATATAGGCTACGCTTCTACCCAAGAAAACCGAAAGAGCAGTACTCGTGCCACCATAGACTACAAAAAAACTGCCAAACCTGGAAATACTTAAGCAATGGGTCCTACCAGAGGACGATCCCGAGCCTTTGGTGGCATAGAAGAGCTTCACTGATTATCTTACCGAAATCGCAAAGGCTGCAACAAGTATAAAAATTTGTGTTAAATCTAAAGCCCGTCATTCATTCATTGGTAGCCGAACAAAGAAATGGATAGAGCAAAATAATTTTTCCTGGGGGGAGTACAGATGTCCATCTATCGAAACTTGAAATAATTATTCCTTACTACGAAATCAGTGTACCAAGTTGGTACGTGTTGTATCCCGTATGAGTCAGTAAGTACGCAAGTAGTGAATTAAGTAGTAATTATTTTTCCAGTATGTAAACGCAAACGTAGCCGGTCCGTAAGCCGGTGAGCAAGCAGTGCGTCAACACGCAAACAGGCAGGCACAGAACTGGTGCAAATCTTACCAAAAGGAGTGTCGTCACGCTGGGCAGTCAACGAACCAATCAATGAGGAGAGATCAATACTGACCTCTGATTCGCTGAGGTGGATCGACCTTGTAACAGGGTAAGTCCGCATGACGTGCGTCCGTGCGATGTAGTGGCGACAGTCGACATAGGCCCATACCGTAATGCGTTTAACACTATATGACTAATTGTACCATTATCCTTCCGCTTTACACCGACAGGCGTGAACGCAACTATGACCAATAGCCCGGCTGAAATTAGAAGAACAACAGACGAAACGCCTGAACATGAACCGCGCCCCCGGGATTGACCCAATTTGTAAATAATCCCCTGTTGTTGACTTGTGCCGAATAAACCTTGCCATCCGGTTTGTCTTCTCGCTATCGTATACCGATCGAGAGTTTGGNTTTATCGGGTAATACTACGCAGCGGTTTGTCTTCCATTCCAGACCTGGTGAACCATCCGTACGTATTCAGGCCAAGTACCGTTTGTGCACTACAGTGTGTGGTGGCAGGCCGCAGCGGTCAAACACGTGATGCGCGATAAACGTTTCACTCGACCGCAGGCCACAACAGTACGAGAGGACAAATTGATGTATGGTGAAACCCGGGCTCAAAAATTCATTTATGATCTAAAATTGCTTTATAAACATAGCAATTTTACAAGGAAGGTGAAACGCGGAATACCAGCATTGAGATCGTCTGGACATGTTTCAACCACTACTCTAGAAGCAGTAGAGTTCCTAAAAAATAGTTTACTCAGGTGTTTACTGCAACGACACACGAAGCATCACAGATTCAAAGAAAATTACCCCATATACCGTATCCGTCACTGGATAAAATTGCTCTTGACAGTAAGAAAGTTAGAACAAAACTATTAACTTTGCGTAAGAATTCATCCCCATGCGCAGACAACATGCATCCCCGGACTCTGATGTCATCAGCAAATAACATTTCTGAACCTCTGGCTGTTCTTTACCAAAGGATGTTCAATCGAGCACTAATTCCGCAACCATGAAAGGAAGAGGTGATTTCTCCTATTTACAAAGAGGGATCTCGCAGTGATCCAGTCAACTACCGCCCTGTTTCAATTCTTCTAATATTGTCGAAAGTCATGGAGGCTATTGTGGCAGATCTGTTGGTGGATTATCTGGAGAAGCATGAGCTTTTATCTCCAGCCCAGCACGGATTTCGGCACAAGCGTTCATGCACCACAAACCTACTCCTTGCACGGGATGAGTGGACAAAATCCGTCGATGCAGACCAGCCATTGGATATAATTTATTTGGACTTCTCCAAGGCATTTGATCGAGTAAACCACCAAATTCTACTGCGAAAACTCTACAACTTCGGAGTAAGAAGTTTGGTTCTGGACTGGATCAAGGAGTTTCTCCGACAAAGGACCATGTCAGTTCGTGTTGGTGATTCATTATCAGAGCCTATCACCGATGCCCGAGGGGTTCCTCAAGGATCCGTACTGGGGCCTCTTGTCTTTCTGGCATTTTTACACGACCTGTCACATGTCCTTGGGCCTAATACACTGCTATTTGCGGATGATGCTAAGATCTGGTGAACTGTAACACATCCTGAGGATCATATAGCACTCCAACAAATGATCGACACTGCCTACCGATGGACAATCGCCAATGACATCGAGTTCAACGTTTCCAAATGCAGAGTTATTTCCATGCGGCGTAATACTCGTTTCTGCTATGTTCTGGGGAACCAAATACTACCGCATGCCACTGATGAAAGGGATTTGAAAGTTATGGTACAGGAGGACGTAGGATGTTCCACGCACTGTACCAGAGCATCATCTATGGCTCTAAAGCAAGTTGGACTATTCAGACGTGTTTTCGGGCAGTTCGAAAGAGCACTGTTCCCACACTTGTTATCAGCGTTCGTTTGGCCACATACGAAGTACGCCGTTCAAGTATGGAATCCATAGTTAAACCGCGACAAGAAGGCTCTATAACGTCCGTAAAGGCTGGCAACAAAGTTGGTAAAAGGTCTATATAACAAGACATACTGCGAAAGATGGCAAATATTGGGACTACTCATCCCAATACCGCCGACTTCGAGGGGACCTAACATTGGCATATCACATACTGAATCAACCCAACCACCCTTGCCGTTCTATGCTGACTTTATCTCATAATGATCACCTCAGGGGACATCCACTAAAGGTAAAGACCCAGAACAGCCACCTTGATTGCCAGCATCACTCGTTTGCAGCCAGAGTGTGCGGCGTATGGAATTCTCTCCCATTTGATGTAGTGTGTTCCTACAGTTGAACTATTTAAATCGCAACTTGAAAAAGCATTGAAACACTAAAAATTTCAACACCCGCGAGTGATCACGCACATTATTATCATTTTTATTTTCTCTTTGTAAAGTTATTCAAAACATTCTGTAAAAATCCTATGGGGTATGAAAGCTTTAGCTTTGTTAAAACGCCCATAATAAAACTTTGACTTTGACTGCCACGGACCAAGACAGCAAGACAACTTGATCATTCTCTTTCTGTTCGAATGGGTACAAATTTTATGTTTTGAAAATGAGGTTCCAGGTTCTATTCTCCATTAGATTCACAGGGGTTCTGAGATTTTCGCCCCAATTTGCCGTTGACCCGCAAAGTACCAAGGCTTTCTTACAAAACCGGTAGTACAGTGAAGTAAAGCAACAAACCATCGGTAAGGTGATTTCGGATAGGGTGTCATTAAGTACACCGATCATAGACAGATAACGTACTAAGTTCTCCTTCAAAAGCAAACTACAGTCAATCTCCTGCTATGTAGCACCTCTCGGGAATTCGAAAAAGTGGGTAGATTCCAGGAACTGTGACATAGGAGGGTAAGCAGCAGTAGATGTAAATAAGCAGTATAAAAATCGGTTGTCAGCTGTGTGACAAAATAAACCGGATCGATGAAAATTAGGTTAATCCCGTTACTTATTCCTAATTTTTATAATCATAAATTGTTTATTTATAACGGAATTTAGATCTACCGTCCTGTGTATCCTTATGAATCGGCGAAATTTAAATCTTTTATGACGCCCACCACTTAATATCGGTATACTGCATGCGATATTCAGCATTTTTTCTGTTTTAAGTGTCATTTTATGCCGAAACTACCTACCTTTCTTCAGGGTATTTTTTCTCAAACAATTATAAAATAATAATTCCATATTTTCCTCCATTCCATTGTACTGTTAGGCCAACCACAGAATGGAGTATATGACGTCCATCCGATTATTCAACTGTTTTAGCTATAATAGTCACATCACTGTTAACCCATTCAAAGAAAACAAAGGTGAACCAGTTTGAATACAGTGAGGAGGAAATAATATCTCAAATGAATAAAATATCTGTTACAGGGTATACTCAGAACATTGATTTCTTTCCCATGTTTAAACTGATTGTTCGCTGAGCTATTCATGATTTTCAAGTGAAAAATGTGTACCATGAGCGCCTGTAAATGTTTCCGAAACAAATACTTGAAAGACCAAATCACCCCCTGATCCATGGTTTGTAACAGCGAAGAACAGTTCGAAGGCAGTAGTACCAATTTGACGTTGGAGAATACTGCGGCTTGGCCATGGCAAGGGGCGTTGTCCATGAATAGTAAAATAGAGCTCCTTTGAGAAACCATTTTGCGGTTGACATCAGACAGCCAACTGAAACAACGTAGAAGTCATCCATGGAAGGTTTTTTCTATCTATACCTCGGAGGCATCGTGGAGTTTGAAATTTTCTAATCACCAACGCTGATAACTTTTCTCCAGCCATACTCACACAAAACAGTAACGTGACCCTCTCTTTGNNCTATGTATCAACTGCGGTAACCTTGATCGAAACTCTTCCACTGCATCACGTGATACCACCAAACCTTCCCCACAGACATAAGTTAATGCACATGAGTTGCTTGTTTCCTAATTTGTACGATTGAATACCATATTTGTATGACCAACAGAGAAATCAACCTTTGGAAGCCTTAAAGTCATTATGATGCAATCCTTGTGATACCTGGATTGCCTTCTTACGAACGATGCTCTCCACCATTGGGGACTCTCCGTGCTTTTCCCTCATAGCAGTAAACCAAGCCAAATTCGCCCCATTCACTGCTTGAACTTATCGTTGGTTTTCAGGTGACATCTTTTCTCAGATGCTTCAGCGTTCAAAAATTCCTCGATATTCGTTCGATGGGATACAACATTGTAAAGTTTTTTCATGAAATTCCAAGTGGGGTTTGGCTACGGAGGACTGAGTTGCACCTGGCTGATCCAGCATTCCCAACAAATTATGCTTCTCTCTGATCGATCGGCACTTGCACATTTTGACGGCAAATGACACTGTCTCCGATCACTTACATCGGTGTGACTTCCTCACTAGGAATATCCAATTAGTGAACAGTGCCATAAACGACACATTAGGTTCAATGCCATTGGCTGAGTGAGACATTTCAGGGTGGATTGTCAATGGTCGTCCCGAAACTTGGGTCAAAGACGAAGTGAGTACGTATCAGGAACTGGGACATATTGAGGGATGCGACATCGCATAGTCAGAAACTACGTCATTAAGCATACGTTTGGTTTGGGTTTCGGAAAAAGTGGGATGATATTAGAAAATGCTACTTCTCATGGGCGCGACATAGCAGGAGATTGACTATATAAAGCTTTCGGTTTTCTAGCTACAGGCCAATTACAGCATATTAAATAACTCAGGGAGCAACGTGTGGATATCGGAAAATCAGGTTGTTAGCACGTACAAAATGGGGGTTTGAGTTGAAAAGTAAATGTCCGAACACTGACAGCATAATTAATGACAATCATTTGCGGAGAACGAATTTTCCACTGGAATGTTCGGTTGGGACAAGCGATTTCATAGTGTTGCTGTTGATATGCTAAAAGCCTGGTTTCCGATCTCTCTGAGTTGTTTTTCGAATGATATAACTTGTTATAATTAGCCGGCAGATAAATTACTGAAAGCAAGCTTGTTTGAAGAAACAGTTGTTTTTCAAATAGTAAAGCATTCAAAATTAAGTACTACACTATCTCAGTCTAAAGCAAACTTATAAAAATCTATAAAAATAGTTAACTTTTCAGAATTTCTTAGGTAAAACTCTTTTATTTTTCAATTGTCTTTACACTGACCACAGGTG